ATATTCTTTTTTTCAGAACCAGGGACTGAACTCAGGCCCTTGTGCTTGCCAGGCAAGTGCTTATTCTACTGAGCTATCTCCCCAGACCCTATATTTTGCTTAATATATAAAAATCCTATCTTTTCTGCATGTAATTGATAGAAAAATTATTTATGATACATGTCAATTTTTCATGATAAGTCCATAAAATCCAGTATACATAATGCTTACATAGTTAGACCTGCCTGTAGAGTATACAGGCTATGTACAGTACAGCTCATTATTGACTTGTTATGTTTCAAATTTGATTAATCTGCATGTGACAAGTGGCTGCTGTGTTGAACAAAGCATGTCTACATACTGTCTGTCAAAGGGGTTCCTCTATTTTTTCTCTCCCCGGATTCTGCAGGCAAGTTTATGTCTTTTTACTCTGAAAAATCTCAATGGTCCAAGAGAACAGAACTAGTATATCAACCCTGGTGGGTTTCCCAAGGAAAGCACTCAAATGAATCACCCAGCCATGAAGCTCAGCTCTTGATGTTCCCCATACAGCACTTGCCAGCATATTTTCAGTATTTCAACATTAATAAAGAGCAAAAGGAAAAACTTTGGATATGAAAAAACAGAGACCAAAACATCTAAATATGCTCCCCTCCCGAAAAAAGGCAAGAAAGAGAAAACAAGAAAGAGGCAATTTAGGATAAGAAGAGAACAACTTTAAATGACTTCAACATATTCATCAAAATAAGACAAGATATTGTATCAAGAATGCAAGAATTATTTTATATAAAGGTTAGCTAAAATTATAAATAAAGGGCATAATGCAAAGTTTACATGGGAGCTGAGCAGTATTTTTTTAAAACAATAACAATGAAAAAGTGTTGTGAATTAGAAGAAGAATGGAAGGAATTGGAAGCTTATGCTTCAAGTTTCAACCTCAGTATAAAAAGCTTCAGGAAAAAAGAGAGAAATGGAAAGGGTAGGGTAGGTGGGTATCAACAAAATGTTTGTAGTACATTTCCTAGAAAATAAGATAGGAACTTCAGGACCTCAGTGGGCTCACCAGAACAATACATAGAAAGAGAATTGAAGCCAGAACACTGGAACAAGGAGATGATATCTTTTCTTTTCCATAATTTTATTGAGAAACAAATAGCAATGAGACAGTTTCAAACCAAATTGGTAAGACAGTTTCAATAATTAACACATTGCATACATCCTTCCTAGTGGTTAATTGCTGTACAAGATGCAGACTTGATATCCTATTTACAAGCACCATTAGAACAAATCCCTCTATTCATTAAGAGAATGTAACTATATATCTATCCTAACCACTTTGAATACACAGATACAAAATGGACATTCATTTGTATCCCCTTTTTTTGTTAAGTTCCATCATTTAAATATTATAGGTGTGTAAACTCAGCAAAATATTCTAAAAGAGTTCAGTAGTCCATATTAGTATTGGGTCTTCTGCTTCACTGGCAATGTCAGAAATTGTTGACTTGAGTCCCCTACAGCTCAACATAATAGCATGGCTTTACTTCTTATACTTCGTTTTTATACTTCTCTGCTGGATGGATAAGACCAAGGTAAAGCAAGACCTATGCAACAAAAGTTGTAGCTTTTGGATCTGATAAGGTCAGGGAAATCCCCTCAGGATTTATCCTGAGATCCTGTACCTCAGATTGTAGAA